GATGCAGCGGTAGTCGTAGCGACTGCATGATTCGCAGGGCATTTGGCCGTCACATTTGCGCTTGCGGATCTTGCACGCTTCGCAGGCAAGGCGCGTGCGGCGGCGGCGGGTTTGCGGCGGGTCACTACCCTCTGGTTGGGGGTTCGTGTCCATTGTTTTTGTTTTCTTTTTGAGGATCTACTTATTTATCGGGGGGATGGATGGACATCGGCGACGGCGGGAAAAGAGATGAGGGTCATGAGATAGGGTTGGTTGGTTGGCTAGATGGCTGGTCTAAGCGTCTCGTATAAAAGGTACAGGTTGGACCCACCTCTTTTTAAGGACAGTAATCAACGAATGCGGGGAAACACTTTCGAATAATGGTTTGTTCTTCCGGATTTTCCCCTCTTTTCTGGCCCCGGAATTTACATTGAAAGCGTGGACTGGTGCCAGAGCCAAAGGATCATTAACATTCTGTCTAGGCCAGGTGACGACGCGCTCTAATAAGAGAGAGATACGAGTCATGGTCCTGACCGCTATTCGCTCGGCTCGACCGGGGACCAAGACTGGATCCTGCATGAACCTGTTCTCTTTTCTCTCGTTGGGGAGGTTACGATTGTAAAATTATCGTCGTTGGTTGGTACGTCATGTTGCAGATGTACAAGGCAATGAGGGTTTGAAAAGGTCATGTGGTGCACCGCTGAGATGGCATCAAATGAAGCCTACAACGTACTGTACAGCATTCTGGGAAACATCATTGGCGGCAAAGAGAACAAAGGATCCAAAACACAGAAGTAGAAATAATACACAGCAATACACAGCCAATCATCAACCGGAGTCCCATCGACGAACAGACATTTTACAAACTCCCCAAAAAGCCCGTTATAGCCCGCGCCGTCTCCTCCAGATCTTCAAACACATGCCAATGGCCCACATCCTTCAACAGTTCCACGCGGGAATCGGGGATCTTGCTCCGGTAGCTCTGAGCCAACTTCACCGGCGAAATCGCATCTTCCTGTCCGGCCACAATCAGTGTCGGCATTCGCAGGTTCTCCACGACGATCGTGGTATCCCGGGACCGTGCCAGCGCGATGCATCCCTTAGCGTATCCCTCCGGGTGCGTAGCGAGGAGGGATTGGCGCACGGCGGACAAGGCGAGAGCTCGTGATGACTTGGTCACGGCGGAGGTAGCAGCCGTGGCGACAGCATTGACTACGTCGGAAGCCTCCATGCCCTTCTCGCGGACGAGCGCGGCGCGCTTGGTGAATACTTCGGCTGCCGGCTCGGGAAGAGGCGAGGGTCCCGGTCCTAGGAGGATCAGCCTCGAAACGCGAAAGGGATGCAACTCCGCAAAGAGCATGGCGATCAAACCGCCCAGAGACCAGCCAAGGACGGTAGCAGATGTGATGGATTTTGCTGTGAAAATCAGGTCAAGGTCTCTCGCGAACGTCTGCAAAGTGGCGGTTGAAGAGGCACGGGCGGGTGTTGCGCCGTGGCCCTCGAGGTCATAGAGAATGATCCGGTAGTCGTTTTCAAGTCTGGCGGCCTGGATGAGAGGCATGTAGTACTCCAAGTTGGCACCAAGGCCGTGGATGAAAACGAAGGTTTCGGCATTCGAGCTCTGAGAACCCAGTTCTCGGATGTTCGCGTAGTGATCCGGTCCAATCTTGGTTAAACCAACTCCGCCCCAGGTTCGGTCGAGATTGTACGTTGGAATGCTGGACGGCTTGCGGAGCACACCCTCGATAGTAGGGTTCTTGGTCGTGGGCTCCGCAATGCGGTTGGACAGTTTTCCAAGGCCACTGACACTCACTTCAACTACAGAGACACGTTACTTTAGCAAAACAGTGTTTTACACATTCACAAGGATCAAAGTCGACTTACCCAAGTCGCCTGATTTGAGGAACTTCGGCGGGTGATGGCCAACTCCGACGCCGTGCGGAGTGCCGGTGGCAATTACATCACCGGGCTGAAGGGTGATACCACTAGACACGGCCTCAATGAGCTGGGGGATGGAGAAAATGAGATCCGCAGTGGTCCCGTCTTGTCGCTTCTCGCCGTTAACATGGGTTTGAACTCGGATCTCCCCTGGCATGGCTGCAGCTGGAACGGCGACCGGTCCCTAAAGAGTGATCATCAGCTAAAGTCGCGTGTGGGAGTCAAAGAAGAACATACCATAGGACAGAAGGTGTCCGGCGATTTTCCGATAAAGTACTGCCGGTGGTCTCGCTGTCTCTCACGGGCAGATATATCTGCGCCCCAATTCTTTAGTTAATTTTATCCTCATCAATTCCATACCAACGTACCATTGATAATCGTATATCCCCAGACGTAGTCCATAGCATTCTTCGCATCGATTGAGAATCCTGCTTTTCCGATAATCACGCCCAGCTCACCTTCGTAGTCCAGCGTATCGGTAAAGCCGGGATGAGGATAAATGTCCGTACCACTTGCAGTGATACTGGTGCTGCGCTTGGTAAAAACAGTTGGCACTTGGGGTGCTGCTCCACGTTAGTATTGCTCATCGAGGAGGAATCCATAGGAATAGTGTGACTTACAATCCGACACTTTGTTACCGGCAGCAGCGTAACCGCTCTCGCGGTATTCCTTGATATGCTGGCGATAGTTCTCACCAATACAGAGAACGTCGCGATCGGCAAGCGGCGGCAACAATTTGACCGAGCTCAATGGAAATGGGGGTTCTGCGGCACGAGTAGCCCCCTCGTCACCCAGCTCGATAACCTGGCTCAAGTTTGTGAGCGGCGACCCAGAGGCCATGGTCAAGGGTTGAATGCTGGAGTCGTTAAGATCGAGGTGGCCAATGCGAGATCGGCCCAAGTCATCTTCGAAGGCCACGAAATTGAAGTAACTCTTCTTCTCTTGCAAGGCGGGAGAAATACTGGCCGTATTGACGAACTCTGTTGGCAGAGCCTTGTGGATGCGGCCGTTGATCATGATCACATCGAGCTTCGAGTGGTCCTGCAAGACAGCGATATTCTTCAAAGGGTCCCCATCGACAAGGATGCAGTCCGCGTAGTATCCGGGCAGTATTTTGCCCAATTCACTTTCCCGCATAAAAAGCTTCGCAATCCCAGCTGTCGCAGCAACAATAGACTCCATCGGGGTAAAGTCGAGTAGCTTGACAAAGTGCTCAAGATCCCGGGCATACGTTCCGTGCGGACACCAGGCGAAGCCGTAATCGCCTCCCGGAAGAACAGTGATACCTCGTTTATGCATCTCTTTCAACGCCTTGGTGGCCGTTTCCAGTTCTTTCCGATACCCGACTTGTTCAGCCTTCTCCATTGAATACCCAAAGGGCTCCGCCTCATGCACAGTCGCATACAACCAGTTGATAGCGGGGGCCACAACGACCTGGTCCTTGACCTTTTCGAGCATCTGCATACCTTTTTCATCCGTATACGATGCATGGTAGATGACATCAACGCCGTGTCTAGCGCATTGGATGACTGAGTCCCGCGCCCGTGCATGGGAGCAGACCCGGATACCATGCCGGTGAGCTTCATCCACACAAGCGGCTGTTTCCTCGTCGCTGAAGAAGCACTCCTCGGCCGACACGGTCTCGGTGATCGCCTCTCCAGACATACTCAGCTTGATCTGATCAACACCGATCTTGGCATGGTGCCTAATCACTTCTCTCATCTCCAGTGGGCCATCAGCAAAAGCCGTGATACCCCCTGCGAGCTCACCCTCCCGTGTTGCGATCTCCTTTCCATTGGCCAGAAGTCTGGGTCCAGGGAGCGTGCCGCGATTAATCGCATCTCGGATGACGCAGTCCAGACGGTCTTTAGCCGATGCCGCGCCATAGCACATAGTGTACCCCGAGTCCAGATAGCACAGGGCGGACCGCGCGGTGATCAGGGTATGCTCCTCGACGCCAATGTCGCCGAGTAACTCGAGGGCTATGTTATTCCAGGTGAAGTGCGTATGGGCATCGCCCAGGCCGGACATCAATGTGCGTCCGCGACCCTGGATGACACGGACCTTCGGGTCGCGACGAAGTGCCTCAACGTCAGGCACTGACCCCACGGATACAATGCGTTCTCCGTGGATCAATACATCGCCTGGATACGGATCGCTCCCGGTCGAATCCAGAATATTGACATCTAAGAACAGTATCTTTGAGTCTGACGAAGTACCAGCCATATGATACGGCTTGGGCTTGAGCTTGGGGTCGAACCGGAGACCTTCATGGGGATATGGCCGCCGACGGGTGGGGAGGGTCGACGACGGTGTGACATGGTTGTGGAAGCCATTGGCTAGGACTCCTGGAGCCATGATGAAGTAATCTTGTCGATGAAGACCAAATCAATATGCAAATCAGGACATGAGCATCAGATGCATCGAGCAAGAATGGGCACGGCGACCTCCATTTAAATAGATGCACATGCATGCATACCCCTTGAACGACTTCGCAAAGCCTTGTAGAGGCCATTGTCTCTGTCCCATGCATTGTACCGCAGCATCCGATGCCTGTTAACCATAACTCTCCAGCGACACTGAGATCCGAAAGGTCGCAGATCGGAAAGAATGGCAATGCGGCAATTCAGGGCTTTGCGGATAATGCGGGAATCTGCCTCTCGTGACCTCCCACCTTGCGGCACTTTGCACCTTTCCCCAGACTTCGGCTTCTATATCCACTCAATTAATGCTACCTGCTTCCAGGGACCCCTGGTGATTGAGATGGATAATTAGCTAACTCCACGGAGCAAAATGTAGCATCCGTTCATGTTTACGTCATGCCTCATTGGAGGCCATATGTATACATACCTTCATCCGATGTTCCGCGATCATAGCCCTAATGATTTAATCACAGCCCAAGGTCAGACGCATGCCTCCCCGAGCACAAAGGGGTCTCTTCGAGTCATATCCTCTACATTCCGTGGTGGAAATCCTAGATCTTGCCTAAGAAGAGTGGGACCATCCACCCGTTCCGGTGATTGGCAGAGCGCAATTCCTCGATGTGGATATTAGGATACGTAAAGTACAAAAAAAAAATCAAACGTCAGCGACAAGATTTGAACTTGCGCGGGCGAACCCAACAGATCTCAGAACATTCTAGTCTGTCGCCTTAACCACTCGGCCACACTGACTTGATTGATGATTGACTTATCATTCCTTACTAAAAATATTAGGGGAAGATAATCACGGCTCAAAACACCCTCTTGGAACCGTTAGGCGAAAGCACGAGACCAGCAGGCGTTCGTGTTAATACCTTTGAAAGCAATGCTGCGTATGTTGAGGCTATTCTACACCGGGACTGTTGATACTCCGTAGACATGTTCGATTCTGCTTGCAATTGATTCTTCCCAATCCCACTGATCAACAACGGTGTAGGCGCTTTGAAGCCATGCGGTCTTAACTCTATTGGCTTTTTCCACATTAATATCCGTGTTCCTCTTGTAAGATATTCAACAATTCGTATACTGGGGCCCATGTCCTCCAAGGATCTGTAACTGGGGGACTGTACCGCCAGCCTGGCAAAGACTTTTCGCTGATAACTAGGAAAGAATCGCGGACAGGGACTCAACGCAAATAGTCCATTGCAGGTTTCAGTGAATGATCATGTCTAGATATAGACCAGGTAGGAGGTGAGCACCAGACATTCTAGCCGTGAGCTTACGCCACTGTCCTTCAAAACGCTGGTCCTGGGCCCAGGTCAGGTGAAGAAAGAAGTTAATCACATGTAGTATTCCATATTTCTATAAGTTCTATATGATTTGTAGACACATCACACACATATGGGCCGTCACGTACAACCACACGTCAGATTCGATGTGGTCTCCCCAACGCAACGATGAGAACTATTTGATCCTAGATAGAGAAATGACATAGAAAGTGCCCTTTGTGAACGTGTCTCTCTCTCTCTCTCTTATTCTGCAGTAGATCTAAGCAGGAGAAACATCACAGGGCAAACTGGAAATAATAAGTTGCTTCACAAGTGCTAAAGTCGGACACAAAAATCTCATCAGTTCCACTCGTTATAGTCCCTTACTATAGTAATTCGTGTTGATTCCATCGCTCTTGGCCAGTACGACCTTCACGAAGAGGCTCGGAGCCACCACCACCATTATCACCAGCAACGAGGCCGCAACACAACTACCCAACCTCACCCTCCCCCAAGGTACACAATTCTACCACCAGCATCCTTCTGTTCGATATCGATCTAGGGCTTCTCTCGCCTGCCACCTTCGTACAATTCCCCTGAAGCCACAGAGCTCCCGCTCACAACGCCATGTATATCCAACGCCTTCATGTTCTCTCCTCTCCTCCTGTAGGCGAGAAGGACGGTTACAGCAGCAATAGGGATTCCGTGGGCTTACCCCTTTTTTATCCAAGAAAGGCATTTTACTACAGCAAGCCACATACACCCGTCCCTCGTTCAAATCATTGTTCATACCAGCTTCCTGAGGCTCGATCTCGCGATTTCTGCAGGCGGTACAAAAGGTAATACCCGCGACGAACAAGAATGGCCATTCTCAGCTCAGGATTTCTTGATAGATGAGATCAAACAAACAATATGGTCGAGCGGGTGAAGATAGGGGATGGAGAAGAAAAGACTTGGGGCGAGAAGGGAACCTTTATAGCCCCTCCTTCCTGCACACGTCAAACTACGTCAACCTCCCACGCTGTCGCTGGGTGTGTACCTCTCCATGCATGGACAAGCCACTTACGCGTGTCGGGGCCCGATTGGGCATCAGTTGCGAGTTAGAGGGACTAATAAGTCACAACGAGAAAAAAGGAAACAAGCCGGGAAAACCACTGGAAAAAAGGATCTAGTCACGTATTGACAGGCAGTGAAGTTGATATTTCATGAGCAAGTTTGCCCATAGAATATATCAAATACAGAAGCTAATTTTGGTTTCTCGAGTGATTTGTACCGGTGGCGCTTGTGAGACTTGGAGAAGTAGTTATAGGACCGAGAACTTCGATCAATCTATTCAGGCCGCAGCTCGCTGTAAGTTGGTGATCGAGAGAGGATTGGGATTTGATACGATACGCGGACGTACGTGTCTGCCTAGTAAATATTACAGCGCGAAGCCATGCGAGATGGTGTCATGGGACAGGATGTTAGAATCCCAGCTGAACATAACAGACAAATGCTGAGAGACAATAATATCCATAATATTACCAGGTCTACTGGGACTTTGCATAAGTTGCAGCCTGAGGGGCGGTCAATTTTGGAAAGCGGTGGACGCTCGGTCGGCAGAATATTCGTGAAAACCAAAAGTTGGAAGGGAGTATTCACTGCACAGTACATAATCAATTTCTTCGATGCAAATGACAGTTCTTTCTTTTGTAATGCTAGATCGATCACTTGGGATTCTCTGAGGTATTATACCTACAGTAAAGTTCCGTTAGTTACTCTTTGTCTATGGACTCTTCTACACATTTTCCGAAAGCCCTATCTGGAATCGCGCACCTCGACCAATGGTACGTACGTCCACAATATATATATAGTTTCCGTAGATTGCTCTGCCTCTTCAACGCCGCCTAAAGTGATATTGAACGGGGACCAAAAGCGACGGGAGTAAGCACATGGGGGGCCAACCTTTTCTTGGGAGAGTACAGGGCTCTGACATAGGTGTTAAATAAAGCAAAAGAAAACACATCGAATTCAAGAATGGGGTTGTTAGTTCCATCTGGAAATGGATGGGAAAAAAATAAATGGTCTTCCGATGCGGGGAATCGAACCCCGAGCTGCTGTGTGAGAGACAGCGATGTTAGCCATTACACCACATCGGATATTACCTGAAGATGCTGGTACTCTTTGTAGCTATACATCTAACTGGAGTAAATGGCCTGCCTCCCATCATTTGATTTATATATGCAGTGTATTGTATGAGCCCTGGAGGTTGCTATCACTCTCAAATACATGCATAGACATCTACGGTTTGCCTCGGCGCAATTGACTAAGGTGTGTGGCCTAGATTTGCAGTGTGCATGTTTGATAATATGCTACATATGCCAGTTGCCAGAATCTCTGTCTCCTCAACCAGTACGGAGATGAGCTCGCCCAATATATTCAAAACCCTGAGACAGACCTATGCAAATAAAATAGAATCAATGACCGCATACTGCGTATAGGAGAGCGGAAGTGAAAATTTATAGGCTGCGCAGACCAACCCTGCGAGCTCATGGCTGCGAGAGAACGATCGTTCATTGCTGCATGAGATCAGAGCTTGACGGCAGGAGATGATTGGCTTTAGCAGTCTGAAATGGGCCCTCTTGTCCTTCGATCTGTGCATCATTCCTAGTCTGGCAAATGTCTATCTGCTCGCTCGGACCTAGAACGCAAATCAGTTACTGCGTAGGGTTACGGCTCAATAAAGTAATGAATATCATGACTTGGCAGTTCCTAGCATTGACAAGGACCCTCAAAAAAATCCTTTGGCTTGTTAAGACCGTTTCACTGTCAATTTTACTTTTCTTCCTTTAACTTGCTCTTGTTGTCTTTTTTTCTTGTATGTCCTCCTGGAAGGTTATTTTAGGATGTCCTACTCCTGGTATAGGGTCCTAAACTCCGCAGCTATAAACATGACATTGGCATTGGTTGGTGCCACAGCCTTTGCAGCCGGCCATCATGGTTTCTATGAACACCTAAGTGGCCGGCCCACACGCCAATCCTGGATTCTCTTTGCCAGAAAAAGTCTCAGTGTATCGGACCAACAGGTCAATGTATCAATTGGGACGTTTTTCGCTTTCTTGGTCAAGGCCCTCCTTGGTGTGGCCGTATCAGTGGCCGTTGACCAATTCGCATGGAAATCAGTCAAAGGGGGTACAACCAATATCAGAGCTATAGATAATCTCTTCCTCGTACTAGGAAATGTGTTCATGTTATTCAAGCTACGGCTCTGGCGACATTACCCCATGACCATGCTGCTAGCCGTGGTTTGTTGGCTCCTCCCTGTGGCGTCCGTGGTCACCCCGGCCACTCTTAATGTGGAATTAGCCCCAGTTTTAGATTTCACGTTCATGCGTGTACCGCGGGTGGATTTCAAGAGCCTAAACCTCTTCAGCACCGAAACCATGTTGGTAGGATCTCAATCCCATGAAGTCGTTCAGTATCGAAGTTCAAAGCCGTTGGTCAAAAAGGTGGCATCAGCGACAACAGCCCAAGGGGAAGTCATGGCTATCGCGCCCCCTTTAGTCAATTCGTCGTGGAGTTTTGACATACACAGTCCCGCTCTCAGATGCGGCCAGGTAGACCAGTCTCTGGATGTGGCTATCCGAAAAAATATCGAGGACTGCGTAAGTAGCATGTTCCTGTTCAATACCAGTAGCCAGGGAACAACGGCATCACTGCTGTCGTATGGATATATTGCCTGGATGCCGGGCGAGCCAGGTACTAATGGCTCATTGCCTTTCGTCAACGAGGATGCCAGCTACAAACAACGCGAAGGAACGCTCGGTCCACTACCATACAGCTCAACAATATCGGCAGTGTACCTTTGTCTCTATTTGTGGCGACATTCCCTGAAATGGTCGTCAACACAAGTGCTACACCCGAAGAGGTACTGACAGCAACTCGCAATCTGAAGCTTTTTCAATGTGAACCGTACAATGCCTCGTATACGGCCAATTTTACTTACACCAATGGCGCCCAGAGGATTCAGATTACCCCTCCCATGTATTTGAACAGCGTGCCTTATGTGACGGCACTCCTAAAGTCGGATAGAGCAGAGTATGACGAGCGCAATTCTACGCTGGTAGAGATGCTCGCATATCAGTCAGTAATGGAAGCATTTGGAGAGCTCATGATTGGTTCCCTTGGAAACAAAATCGTTTGAGTTTCGATCGATCAGCAGAACGTGTCTAATTCAGCTGTCTTCACGCTCAACACACAATCATGACAACCCCTTACCGAGGAACTGTCGTCCACCTCGCGGGCTATGAACCTGGACTATCATAGCGGAGCTTTCCAAGGTATCTGGAACAAACACACTGTAACTCCATCTATAAGCAGTAAGACGGCGTTATCTGAGAGCATTGAAGGGATGTTCAGAAACATCACCCTCTCACTGATGAGTTCAAGTCTTCTCCAGTATGTTGCACCTACCAAATCTGTTGTTTCTGATTCTCCCATCTTACT